CCACGCCCCCAGCCCCTCACTGGGCGATTCTAAGCTGGGGCTCTATCACTGAGCCACGCCCCCAGCCCCTCACTGGGAGATTCTAAGCTGGAGCTCTATCACTGAGTCATGCCCCTACCCTTGAATTTTAGGACAACCTTAAGTAAAGGAACATAGAAAACAATGCACAGAGAAAGGAAATGTCCCTGCCTAGCCTCAGATTCCCCACTCTTCTAGAGGCACGACCTAGACTCATGGGAGTCACTCAACGGCTGCTTCAGACACCCTCAAGTCTTGGGCAGAACAAACCTAGGATGACATTGTCCAGAACCCATCCCTCTCATCTTGCCCTGGAAGAACCTAAATCAGGACCCAGTGTCCCCAGAACAAAACTTCCTGTCTAGGACCCCTTGTCCTACACTTCTCCCACTCCACAGTGCCCCCAAAGACCTCCACTCTGGATGCACCTTCTCTAATAGCCTTAAAAGTCCAAAATAGCGCCTCCCAGTGGACATTATGAGTGTTCCTCCAACCGGATCACAGATCTCAAACAGCGCCCCCCAATGGACGACCCAGGCATGGCATGAGAACCCATGCAATTCCTAGAACACCAACTAGGGGACGAAAGCACAGGTTACAAACTTGGGATGTAGATTTTGTAAAAGAAATGGGGCATCTTCCAAATCTGAAGATTTTGAATGTGTTTCAGACCTGCAATGTCAAAGACAAAGGAAGGTGTCATTTAGCATTTAGCAAATAGGTAATGTTCCCTAGTGTCTGGTCTTCCTTATTCCTGTTTTGTAAGACAAGGGACTGACAAGATGGCTTAATGGGTAAAGAGGCTTGCTACCAGGACCTGCGTTCCATCCCTAGGACTCATGTCATAGAAGGAGAGAGTTGAATCGCACAAATTGCCTTCTGACCTCTACACATATTCACGCAATTTAAATAAATCAAATGTAATTAAAATGTTTTAAATACAGTCAAACTTTAGATCAATCCAGACATCCAAACACAGACAACATATCTGGATCTCGTTCATAGCAAATAATGCCTTAGAAGTATACCTTGGCCAGTAGAAGGCAAACTCAAGGATTGCATGTCAGTTTCCAGGAAATAGCCGTAAATGGAGCAGGAATGTCATTCACCCTGCTTTGGGGAGTGCAGATAGCCGATATTCCAGTAGCCATATTTCACCATATGTTGAAAGTCACTTGCTGAAGAAAGTAAAGGAAGATACTGTGAAAGAGAACACCAGGCTCCTTGTAAAAGCAACCGATCCTTGCTGTGAAGTGTAATGTACCAACCTCGATTGGCTGTCTTCAGAGCTGCTTCCTTTTCCTCTTCCTCTTCTTGCCCTATTTATGGAGGTAGGGTACGTGTCATGGTGCATATGCAAAAGTCAGAGGACACCTTTGAGGGAGTCAGTTCTCTCCTTCTACCATATGGGTCCTAAGTATGGAACTTCACTTAATATTGACTGATTGGCTCATCTCACCCACCTCTTCCTGTCCTTTTTGCTTACTAAGCTGTCTAAGCTATTATGGATTTATGATAACCCTGAGGCCCACCGATAGCTTATTCTTGTCCCAGGATTTTTCCTTCAGTGAGACAAACTCATAATTACAAAGGTCACGACATAAATTCCCCAGAGTCACCTGTTTTTGGAACAACTGGACAAAGGAACAAGATATCGTCACTTTCTGGACCCTGTTTATGGGCTAAAAAATCTCTGAGCTTCAAGACTGGACAGGACTGGGATCATTCATCTCCCGTTTCCACTCACGGTTTTAGTAACCTAGCATTACCACGTTCAGAAGCCGCGTCAGACTCTTTTCTCTCCCAAGGCAACAGTAACACACCCTTGTCTGTCTCTTTCCAGAGAAACCAGAAAAGAGATAATCAAGGGTTGGTCCCACCCCAGTCCTCAAGGCCCGAATGGCAGCTTCTAGCGCCACCTGGCGATAGCGTTATAAGTCAGCACGGACTCGTCGCGGGTGAGCTGGACTGCAGAAGAGTTTCCCGGCATGCAGTGGCCAGGTTCTCCAGGGACAGGAGGGTTGGGGGTAGATGTCGCAGTTTGGAGAGATGAAAATCGCACATTGGGCAAGGTTGGACTCTGCGCTGGTGTCTCCTGGGCCAGCCTTCTGCAATCAAGACAGCGCGCCCTTGCCCCTTGCTCGGAGGCAGTGACCCATGAGTGGGCTCGAGGGAAAGCTCCCGGCGTCCACAGAGAGCATGCGTGCACGTGCTCCCTACCCCCCATCGACCCACGCAGCGCCCCACATCGCGTGCGCGCACGCACGTCTCCACGCTCGCGCGTGCAGGCCTGTCACCCACGCAGCAGCGGCCGGCAGACTCCAGAGCCAGATGCCCCCACCCACCCCGTGAGCCAGTTGTCCCTTTCACTTAGTGATCTCGCGTGGGCACAAAACTACACACTTCCCACAATCACTAGGATGCAGCTAGGTGGGAGACTCCCTAGAAGTCTGGGCGTGTGGTCTAAGGGACTCCCAAACAGGCTAGGGGCTTCAAAGGCAGGCCGCTCCCACCTGCTAGCCACAACGACCAATGAGAGCTTGGCCCGGTGATGTCATGGCCCGACCGGACCCTTGTGATGACAGCCGGAGGTCACCCGTCAGGGGAATTAGCTCAAGCCCACCATCCGGGGTTCCGGAAGTTTCCATTGCTGCAGCAGAGTGCAGCCTCTCCCCACAATCACTTCTGCGTGTCACTATGTGGCCTGGCTTCTCAGCTGTCCCCGTGTCACCTCTTCTTGCCCTTAGGGGTCTTTTCCTATAAGGAAGAGCCTGTGTTTCTGTTTTCTGCTCCCACAGGTGTCCTCTCGTCTCCACAGAGATGTCCCACGTCATCTTTTCTACCAATGTCAGCTGAGGGGGTCCTCAGCCAAGTTTTCTCCTGTCTCTTCTCTTATTAACCCCCCCATGCTTTGTCGTGGTTACAGATGCTCAAATATTAGGCCTCTGATCTTTCTGGATTAGAGCTGTCAGTGTGTCCTTTCGCCCGTGAAAGTCGGTCTGTCTGTGACTTGTCACCGCAGGAGACTGTCGCCTGCGTGAGCGCTGTCTGGTGTCTCCGCAGGCTGCGGTCCGTCTATCTGTCACGTGGGTGTCTGCCCGGCCGCTGCGGGTCTGCGGGTCTGTCGGTCTGTCTGAATCTATCACCGGAGTGTGTCTGGGCCCCCGCTTCCCGGGGTCTCGGGTTTGAAGGGAGGGAGGAAGGGAGGTGGCAGCCCGGGGGAGCGGGGAGGGGCGGGGGCGGAGACAGTGGGCGGGCGGGGGCGCCGTGCGGCCCGGAGGGGTGTGTGCGGGGGGCCGGAGGCGGCTGTCACTGTCGGCTCAGCCTGCGCCGGGGAACATTGGCCGCCTCCAGCTCCCGGCGCGGCCCGACCCGGCCCGGCTTGGCCGCCTCAGGTGAGTCTCCCAACCCACCCGGGACCCTCCACCGGCTCGGGACCAATCCGCATGCCAGGGGAACCGTGCGATCCTGGGACGATGGAAGCCCCCCAACACAGCTCCTACTGTACCTCCTACCCCCCGGGGCCTGCCCAGAGGGGCCCCTCCACTGCCTCGCACTCCTCTCAAACTCCCGCTAGCCGCTGCATACTTACTGATGATGCTCGCTGGGCCAGCCGCTGCCTCTGCGCTCCTTTCCTGCAGGGACCCTCTGAAGGCCCCTTCCCCACTCTCTTCAAAGTCTGGGGACACTGGAAGACGCCCCCTGTTTGGGGCGGAGCCCAAACTGCGCAGGTTACTGACATCCCGAATGCACCACCCCCCCATCCCGAGGGCCGCGACCCCAACGTCCCTACCCTTGCCAGCTCCAGGACCCCTCCTGCGGAGTCAGTCTCTCTCTCTCTCTGTCTCTCTCTCTCTCTCTCTCTCTCTCTCTCTCTCTCTCTCTCTCAAAGGAGGCTCAGCGGAAGCCCCGAGTTATAATTAGTCCCACTCGGGTTTCCTGGTTAATCTCCAACAACGCCACTATCCCGAGATCCAGGCGACCAGGACTGGCTGGGTGATGGGTGAACGCCCGGAGGGGGTAGTTCCGACCCGGGGAATTTTGATCTCTTGGCTGGAGATGCCGGAACTACAGCAGCTGTTGCCCCCAAAATAGCACCCCAGCCTTTGCTGCGGGGATCTCCGGAGCTCCCGGAACACAGACGTCCTGGCTCGCCCTTCAATCCCCTCGCGATGCTCACGATCTTCCAGATCCCCACACCAAGGCTCGGGCGGGGAGCTCTGGCCTCTTCTTGGTCTCTACTGCTCCCAGTTGGCAGCGGAGGGCATTGCAATACGGGGATGCAATAGGGGCTTGAGTTCTGGTGAACCCCTCAAGGGGCTAGTAAGCCAGTTGGTTGGAGTCAGACGAGAGGGGTGCGGCTGATGTAAAGCAAACGGGTACCAACCGGCCGTACCAGAAAGAAGACAAGGCGGAGCAGGGTGGGGCAAGGTGTGGACTGGACAAGATTCCAAGATGCCTTCAGAACCTGGGACTCCTGATACCTTGAGTGCCCAACCCACTCCCCAGAAGGCTTTGGCTAACCCGGAAGAGGCTTGGGCTGTGTTTACTTATAATAACTTGCAAGCTCCTGAAGGGCCCCACCCGTCCAGGAGGGCCCCCGCACCTGTCCTGGGGGCCTGTACAAGGCCTTTCCAACCCCGTGCTGTAAGCTAGGGATCTTAGCCCAAGCTTCAGGAGAAAGAGTTATGGGAGGCCTTGGAACTGGTAGGCAGGGAAACTGTGTAGTAGTCAGTCTTATCTAGGTAGAATGCATTTGTCGCGGAATGGGTGTGTGTGTGTCTGATCTTGTGCTTGTCTGCCTGTGTCTCGTCTCCTAGCTTGACTCCATTTCTCCCCTCCGCTTACCAATCTGCCCCACCTCCTCTGCAACTCCTTGATAAGCCTCGGGCGAGACTGTTTCTTAATCTCCCGCTGAGTTGCTCCAGTCTTCACCCTTTGCCTTTCTTTCTCCCAGCAGACATCAGCCTGTCCTGGCAGTCATGAGGCCTCCCTGGTATCCCCTGCATACACCTTCCCTGGCTTCTCCGCTCCTCTTCCTCCTCCTCTCCCTCCTGGGAGGAGGGGCAAGGGCTGAGGGCAGGGAAGACCCGCAGCTGCTGGTGAGGGTTCGAGGGGGCCAGCTGAGGGGCATCCGCCTGAAGGCCCCTGGAGGCCCAGTCTCAGCTTTTCTGGGCATCCCCTTTGCAGAGCCACCTGTGGGCTCACGTAGATTTATGCCACCAGAGCCCAAGCGGCCCTGGTCAGGCGTGTTGGATGCTACCGCCTTCCAAAATGTCTGCTACCAATACGTGGACACCCTGTACCCTGGGTTTGAGGGTACTGAGATGTGGAACCCCAACCGAGAGCTGAGTGAAGACTGCCTGTATCTTAATGTGTGGACACCATACCCCAGGCCTACTTCTCCCACACCTGTCCTCATCTGGATCTATGGGGGTGGTTTCTACAGTGGAGCATCCTCCTTGGACGTGTATGACGGCCGGTTCCTGGCCCAGGTTGAGGGAACCGTGTTGGTATCTATGAACTACCGAGTGGGAACCTTTGGCTTCTTGGCCCTACCAGGAAGCAGAGAAGCCCCTGGCAATGTAGGTCTGCTGGATCAACGGCTTGCCTTGCAATGGGTGCAAGAAAATATTGCAGCCTTTGGGGGAGACCCGATGTCAGTGACTCTGTTTGGGGAGAGTGCAGGTGCAGCCTCCGTGGGCATGCACATCCTGTCCCTGCCTAGCAGGAGCCTCTTCCACAGGGCTGTCCTCCAGAGTGGCACACCCAACGGGCCCTGGGCCACTGTGAGTGCGGGAGAGGCCAGGCGCAGGGCCACGCTGTTGGCCCGCCTTGTGGGCTGTCCCCCAGGTGGTGCTGGTGGCAATGACACTGAGCTGATAGCCTGCTTGAGGACAAGGCCCGCTCAGGACCTGGTGGACCATGAGTGGCACGTACTTCCTCAGGAAAGTATCTTCCGATTTTCCTTCGTGCCTGTGGTGGACGGGGACTTCCTCAGTGACACGCCGGAGGCCCTCATCAACACTGGAGATTTTCAAGACCTGCAGGTGACTAATGGCTGATAGGGCAGACCAGATTCTTCTGGGTTTCATGCGTCCTTCCCCTTTCCCAGGGACCCAGGCATGAGGGCTTACTGCAGATGCACTATTAGAGGTCCAAGTTTGTGGGTCCCCAAGTCAGTCCTTCCCTGCCAAGTGTTCAGATCCTAAAGTGGTTGCCAGGCGAAAAAGAAACTATGGGTATATTTTTTTCTTCCTCCACACCTTGTCCCTCCCTTCCCAGCTCTCTGTTCTACACAGTTCTGCCTTTGTAATGGTTCGTCTGGCTATTAGTTTGCTCATCTGTCTCTGTCTGCCTGTCTATCATCTCTCCATCCCTTTTCCCGTCTCCAACTATCCTCAGGTGCTGGTGGGTGTGGTGAAGGACGAGGGCTCCTACTTTCTGGTTTACGGGGTCCCAGGCTTCAGCAAAGACAATGAATCTCTCATCAGCCGGGCCCAGTTCCTGGCTGGAGTGCGGATCGGTGTGCCCCAAGCAAGTGACCTGGCGGCCGAGGCTGTGGTCTTGCATTACACAGACTGGCTGCACCCTGAGGACCCTGCCCACCTGAGAGACGCCATGAGTGCTGTGGTAGGCGACCACAACGTTGTGTGCCCTGTGGCCCAGCTGGCTGGGCGACTGGCTGCCCAAGGGGCCCGGGTCTATGCCTACGTCTTTGAACACCGTGCCTCCACATTGACTTGGCCCCTCTGGATGGGGGTACCCCATGGCTATGAAATCGAGTTCATCTTTGGGCTCCCCCTGGATCCCTCTCTGAACTATACCATGGAGGAGAGAATCTTTGCTCAGCGACTTATGAAATACTGGACCAATTTTGCCCGCACAGGGTCAGTGGTATTGGAGTGGGGATGGCCTCTGGGGGTCCAGGGGAGAGGGTACCCATGGATGGTAGTGAAAAGAAGAAGAAACATCCACAAAGAAAAGGGGATGGAGAGAGAGTCACAGGTGACACCGAGAACAAGGCAGAACTGGGAGTCCCAAGCCACCCGGAGGCCTTTAATCCCAGCACTCAGGAGGCAGAGGGCATTCTGATCTAAATAGCACCTGACTAGCAGGGACTACGTAGTGGAGCTCCTGTAAGGGCTGGGAATGGGGCAAATGCTGGAAGTATGACTCAGTGGTAGAAGGCTGAAAAGCAAATGTATGCGAGACCACCCCAGCACTGTAAAAGACAGCCAGGCAACTGGTATTCAACAGGTAAAAGGTACTGCGGTGCAAACCTATCTCAGCTGGAACCCTAAAACCCACAGTGAGGTGGAGAGACCAACTCCACAAAGCTACCCTCTGACCTCCAAACCTCCCTCCCTCCCTCTCTCTCTCACACACACACACACACACACACACAGAGATAACAATGAGGATAACCAATAACAATATCTTAAAGTCAGAGAAAGGCAATAGAGGCTTGGGGGGTGTAGCTCAGTAAAGTACCTACTTGCCTAGCACAGACCCTTGGGTGCATCCGATTTCTGTGTTACCCAAAGTAAAAGTAAGATTTGTAGAGACAGGACTTCACCTATCTACACAGCTAAACGCTTGATCCTAGACTTTTTATTTTAAAATAGAGTCTCACTATGTAGCACTGGCTGGCCTGGAATTCTCCATGTAGATCAGGCTGGCCTCAAACTCAGAAAAATTAACCTGCCTCTGCCTCCTGGGTGCTGGGTTTAAAGTCTGTAGAACCACACCCAGATAGAAATTATTTGAAAACAAAGGGAAGTAGAGAAAGACAGAGACGTCCAGTGGAAAGAAAACTTCCCTAGGTGGTAGAGGGTACTTAAAATGAAGGGAACCTGCTGTCCCGTGTCTATAATCCCCACACTCTGGGAAACTGAGGCATAAGCATTGCCAGATTGAATAACTCTCTCTCTCTCTCTCTCTCTCTCTCTCTCTCTCTCTCTCTCTCTCTCTCCCCCCCCCCCTCTCTCTCCCCCCCCCCCACACACACACCACACACACACACTCACCCGGTGGGGGGGGAGGGCTGGCTGGAGGGGGTAGGGAGAAGAGAGGTGGTGGAAGAGTTGAAGAGGGTCTAGAGTCAGGAAGAAGATCCATTTCATTCCTTATTGCTCTGGGCAAGCTGAGATTTCCCTTTCCTTCCTCAGGGACCCCAACGACCCTCGAGACTCCAAGTCTCCACAGTGGCCACCGTACACCACTGCCGCGCAGCAGTATGTGAGCCTGAACCTGAAGCCTTTGGAGGTGCGGCGGGGACTGCGCGCCCAGACCTGCGCCTTCTGGAATCGCTTTCTCCCCAAATTGCTCAGCGCCACCGGTAGGCGCGTGGGGTCGGGGAGCAGGGAATGGACAAGGCGGCAAGGGTTGGAAGGAGGGGAGAGAGAAGGGGTGCAAAACACAGGGTGTAATCCCTCTCTTCTCCACCTCCCCCAGCCACGGAGGCTCCCTGCACCTGCCCAAGCCCCGCCCATGGGGAGGCTGCCCCGAGGCCCGACTTATCCCTGTCCCTTCTCTGCTTCCTTTTTCTCTTCCACTCCGGGCTTCCGTGGCTCTAACTACAACCCTTTCCCCTTCTGGCCTCAGAGCACACTCAGTCTAGTGTGTGGCTGAGAAGAAGGGGCCCCTCTCAGGGATACAGCACCCCACGCCATTCTCAAGACAAACTGGACAGACTCAGGGACCTTTGTTTAAACAAAAATTAAAAAAACAAGGGTTTTTTTTTTTAATGTAAAAATTACCCTTTGGAGCTTGAGCCTGGTGTTGAGGGGGAAAGAATCCAGGACTAGTCGGCGCCAGCCAATGGGCCTGTATCTTCTCTCTTTTCCCCAACAACCCATGGACCCTCCTCCCATTTTGATCCTGTCCCTCCCCTCATCTTCCGGTGGTTTTTCTCCTCTCTCCTTCCTGCTACACTTCACCTCTACCTTCACTCTCCGGATCATCCACTGGTCTCTTTCCACCACCCTACTCGGCCTCCGACAATGCGGGTATGCCGGCGCACTCACGACCGATCTCCACTACCCGACCTGTTCCGTTTCTTCCTCCCACTCCTGCGGGGTGCCCTGGCCGCAGATACGCTGGACGAGGCGGAGCGCCAGTGGAAGGCCGAGTTCCACCGCTGGAGCTCCTATATGGTGCACTGGAAGAATCAGTTCGACCACTATAGCAAGCAGGAGCGCTGCTCAGACCTGTGACCCCTTGGGGACCCCAGGTCCTGCCGCCCTGCCCGAGCCCCTAGCTGTATATATACTATTTATTTAAGGGCTGGGATATAATACAACCGAGCCCCCAGGCCCTGTCCACCCCGCCCCGACTTCCTCCCACTAGGGGCTCCCCATCTTCTGCATGTCTTGGGCTGAGCTCCCCTCCCCGTGGTGCCTTCGCCCCTCTGGGCCGCCAATAAACTGTTACAGCCACTAGAGTCTGTGCAACCGGCGGGACGTTGGGGCGGGGAAGTCAGACGGGGACGAGAGCCTCGGGATTGGTGAGCACTGAGGTACCCTGGCCGCAGCATCCGGCGGAAGCAGGCGCTAGGCCCGCTCCTAGGGGCGGAGCTTGCGACTGCGCAGCAAGGCTGGTTCGCCTGCACTTTTTAGAAGGTTCGGAAGTCGGTGTCTCCCTGCTACCAGCCTGTGTGGTGAGCGATCCCAGGTTCTCCGTGCCCACACTGCCCGTCGCTAATCCCAGAAAACACCAGGAAGCCGGAATTCGCCCTGCCTCGGTGACAGCTGCTCTACTGAGCACCCTGGAGCTGCTGAAGGACGTGCACCTGGGCCTGCCCGTGCCCTGCCCGGATCCCGCCCGACTGGCCCTCCTCTCCGGCCACTACCTTTACTATCACTACGGGTGCGATGGACTGGACGACCGTGGCTGGGGATGTGGCTACCGTACCCTGCAGACGCTGTGCTCCTGGCCAGAGGGCCAGTCCTCGGGCGTGCCTGGGCTGGCAGCCTTGCAGGGAGCCCTAGAGGACATGGGCGATAAGCCCCCAGGGTTCCGGGGTTCCCGGAACTGGATCGGCTGTGTAGAGGCCAGTCTCTGCCTAGAACACTTCGGAGGACTTCAGGGGCGCCTATGCCACTTGCCCCGCGGAGCAGGGCTTAGGGGTGAAGTGGAGCGGCTGTATTCACACTTCACAGCGGGCGGGGGCCCAGTAATGGTGGGAGGAGATGCAGATGCCCAGTCCAAGGCCCTGCTGGGCATCTGTGAGGGGCCAAGTATGGAAGTCTATGTCTTGATACTGGACCCACACTACTGGGGCACTCCGAAAAAGCGTTGTGAGCTGCAAGAGGCTGGCTGGGTGGGCTGGCAAAAGGCAAGCAGTGTCTTTGATTCCAGTTCCTTCTACAACCTGTGCTTGACCAGACAGAACTGACTCAACATGCCTGCCTGCACTGTTGGAGATCCCACAACACACCGATCCCTGGCACCTATTGACTTCGCACAGGCTCCGGCAGCAGACAAGTCTCTCAACATACACGGTCAGGTGACTCTTGAGTTCAAAGCCACCCTGGGCTTAGAGATACTGTTCTGAAAATGATAATAAATCGGCATAATTCAGTTTACTATCGCTCAGCCTGTGTTTGGGAAGGGACATACTGCACACAGTTAACACACACTACCAAAGTGTTTTTATTAGCAGGTAAAATAAAGTACAAAAAAATTCTCAGCTGATGGGATAAAGTGGTCACAGATACAGATGTAGCAATGCGCGGAGGTGTGGGGGTGTGGATGGTTCAAAAGAAATCAACGTCATCTGGGGCATCCAGGTCCCGATACTCCACTATGGCCCTTGGGTCTCCTCGAACCATTCTGTGAAACAAAGGAAGTGTCAACACATGTCCCTACAACCCGAGGAGGGGAAGCGCTTGGGCATCGTTCATGCTCACCTGTTCCGAGGTTTCCCAGGATAACCGCCTTGACCTCGGAAAGCATCATAGTTCCCACGACCGGCACCATACGGGGCATGGGGGTATGGAGGCCCTCCTGTTGGGACTGCAGGGCGGACAGCACCAGCTATGACAAAGACCCAGGGTGAACTAAACACTGACCTCAACCTCAGCTTAAGCTTTGTAGGCCCCTACAAACACAAACCCCTGCACTGCCTTTCCACACTCACCTCCATAGCCCAAGATGGGAGGCCGGGGCTGACCATACGGCATCAAGCCCTGTGGTGTCTGATGTGGGTAGGGAAGTCCTGGGGTCAGGCCTGGGGGGAGTACAGCATGGACAGGAACATGAATTACTGCGGGGAGGAAGCGGACTAGGACTAGGGCCTGAAGGTCAGTGGAGTCAAAAGGGATGGCAGCCACCATAGACCGTATCTTACTCTGGGTGGGGCCAGGTGGCTGAGCCGGCTTCATCTCTGGCAAAGCTGGGCGCTTGGCATCGGTGAGGAAGTTGTTAAAGAACGCCACCTCCTTCTTCACCTCCTCGATCTTCTCGGCATGCTTATTGAAGATATGTTTGCGCACAAACTCTGGACCCTGGGTGGAGACGAGGACAGAGTGCTGCAGTCTCTTCCCTCCCGAACCCCGCTGCAAGGTAACCGCCTCCTCCAGCCTTTTAGGGGTCTTGCTACCCAAGCCCACCTCCCGATCCACCCGACCAGTTCTTTTCATATCCCAGACCTTGAATTTCTTGCCACTGAGAGGACATAGCCACTTATCCTTGCCCAGTTCCTGCGTGTTGGAGGTGACAAACTTCTCCACTTCCTGCTCTGGGTCCTTCCGACCCATCTTCTGGGCCTCTTCCTCAGAAAGAGATTCCCGCACACTCAGCAGTGGGGTCAGTTTCTCCTCAAACGTCTTCTGCCACTCCAGCACTGTGCGGGTGACAAAGGCAGGCTCGGGGGACTGAAGCAAGGGTAAGAGGAGGGACAGGAGGAGACAGTTTGGTTATGAAGGACAGGAGGGACCTGGAGTGTACCTTCTCCGTGACTGATTCGGTTGGGAGGCATGGGCCCCCGAACGTGGATTATGCCACAGCGGTTGGGCATCTCGTCTTCATTAGGGTACTCGCAGGTGTTGTAATAATCCAGAGAATGCACAATACGCAAATAGAGAAGAAGTTTATCCAAGACCTGGGGGTAGGGTGGGAGGGGGACACACAAGGTTACCCCTCAGGCCTCACACAGACACAGCACACCCACCCCTGGACACACTCCAGCCGGTCAAAACTGGCACCTTGATCAGCTTCTCATCCCTCTCCACATTGATCTCTGCTGGGTTGCCTTCCTTGGGCGGCTCCTCCGGAGGGGGTCCTCCACTGCTCCCCAGAAGCTCCTCCTCCTCAGCACTCACTTCCTCAATCAGGTAGTCAGTGATGTTCTTTAGGATGGGGTTTTGTGAGGGCAGACTCTAGCAGGGATGAGACAGACAACAAAGGAGAAAACTCAACCAGAAACTGGGCCACGAAGAGGGAGCATCAGCATCACTGACAAAGCCTGTTTCCTTCTGCTCGCCACATGCCTATCTCTTCATCCTGACCCACACATGGCTATGCTGTTGGAAGCTGGAGGAGACAGCATCCAGACAAAGGGGCAAATGAGGGAGGTTATGGGTAGGACCCAGACATCAGGGCAACACACAGATGAGGTAAGAGGTAGCAAAAGGGAGCACTGGGTAACATAGAACCATCCCCTGGGAGTCACTGAGTCCTGGGAGTCACTGACTGTGGGCACAGGAGGCGTGCCGGGCTCCGCGGCCCAGAGCTGGGTCCTGTCGTCCAGCGTGTGGATCAGCTTGGCTGCCAGCTTGATGTCATTGCGCACGATTTGCTTGTGCTGCGTGATGCCATTGATGTTGCGGACACGACGGGTCAGGTCTCTGTTCACACCGGGACTCAGTTCACATTCCCGTAGCTATGGGGACATAATTAACAAGGAGACCAGTGACTACCCCAGAAGCTGCACCCTGAAGAATGGGCCCTACAGAGACCCTTAAGCCCAGGCTCCCCAGAGGTGACAGAACCATGGTCACAGGCCCATGGCTTCTCAGACAGAAGGAAGCCTGCAGTTGAAGCCGCACGGCTGAGAGGACACGGAAAAAACAGACAGCAGAGCCCAGCCATGCGTCCTGAGGCCCTACTCCCAGCACTTACTCGGATGTTCTGCAGGTTCCAACAGATCTCCTTAATGTTAACACTGCGGTCAAAAGTCACCCAGCCACGTCGGAAAAACCTACGTAAGAAAGTTTATCAGCACTGTCCCAGAACGGAGCTAGTGTGGTCACCCTCTACCTCACCTCCTTACACCATCCCTAGGTCTCCAGCTTCTTACCTCCTCTCTGGCTGGGGCTCTGATAGTGCCACCCGCATAAAGCCTGGGTATCGTTTACAAAGCTGCAAGAGTCAAAAGAATCAAGAGAAGAGAAAAGCCACATAGGAACTAGACGCATCCCTCTCCCTCATCTCCACTGTTTAAACCCTCAACAAGTGCCCTTCATCTCCCAGGAAGGAAAGGCCAGCACCCAACAACCCCAATGCACACTGACTCAGGCTCCCCATGCCAAAGGCATTCTGCCACCTGAAGGATCTAGGACACACACCAACCCTGCCCCTAAGACTGACGTCCCCACTCACAGAAATGATCTCTGCCCTTGAGATGTTGGGTGCGATGTTGCGCATGAAGAGAGAGCAGGTCTTATGCAAGGGCCGGGGCTTACACTCCAGCCCTGCGGCATCCTTGGGCTTCTCCCTCTCCTCGTCTTTGGGCTTCTCCTTTTCCTTAAGTGCTTCTTCTAAGCAAGAAGTAGTAATTAGTACAACTTTATATACATAAGTATAATATGGAAGCAGCATTTACAGCCAGACATCACCCCAGAAAACCCCTTCCTACTCCTCCCTCCCCCCCCCATGCACAGATTATTCTTGTATTATTCAAATTCTGGTTTCTCTGTACAACATCTGGTTGCAATCCAGACACGGCACTGTGATGCTTAACCCAAGTGTCTCCTGCCTCAGTGTCCTGTAAACACTGCTCCCATTTATTCTCTGACTTGTCAATAAAAGCTCATCAGCCAATGGCTGAACGGGGAAGAGAACAGGGCTAGAAAAGGGCTGGACTTCTAATCCCAGCCAGGGAGAGGGAGCGAGACAAGGGAGGGTTCACCAGGAGGAAGAGGTCTGGGGAGAGACTGGGACCACATCTGCAGCAGAAAGCCAAATCAGTACAAACATCCAAGTATCTTGGGGATTTTGCCTTTTGCCTGGGAGGTAAACAGATTAGCTTAGAGGAACACAATAGGAAAATTACTGTTCAGCTATTGTGCTGTAAAGTTTATCAAATAAATCTTATAGTCTTTTCATTTATTTGGGAGCTAGCCAAGATACACAGTTAAACAGCTATTTATAAAAATGCACTTACATACACACACACTCACCCAACACAGTAAAACAAAGGAGCAGAAAGAATTAAAGAAAGGACAAGTACCAGCCTCCTCTTTTTCCTCCTCAGCTTGGCCACTCTCAGACTCAGACTCAGACTCGGATACACTGCCCTCATCAAAGCTGTCATCACCACTGTGCTTCCTGTTCCGTTTCTTGCTCTGTGGAAGCAACAAGAATAGGCCATCAAGACCCCCAGGATTCAGCCCCGACATCTTAGTCTCATGCAAAACACACCTTACCTTTTTGGCTTCCTTCTCAGCCTCTTCCTTCTTCTCCTCCTTGTCCCCATCACCCTCAGATTTTTTAGTTTTGTCATCATTGGAACTGTCATTCTCAGCCTACGAGACAGCTCTGACAATGTCAGTCTTTCTTGCTGGTGGCATCAGCCACCCCACCCCTTCTATTCACAGTGGAGCTTCCAGCTCCCTCATCCCTGCCTCTCGACCTGTTTTCCATCTTCTTTCTTCTCATCTTTGTCGTTGGCCTTGCGCTCTCCGTCCACCAGGGCTGGTCCAGCACGGCTCTCCTCTTTCTTGCTGGCCTCCCCAGTCTTGTTTGCCTGTTCTTCCTCCTCCTCTTGCTCCAAAATTCGGAGATCATTCTCTGTGCCACCTTCCATCTTAATGACAGCTACCAATGACGACAGAGGTCACAACCCGAGCACTTTGGTTTCTATTCCTAGCCCAGACCTCCCCCCTCTTTAAGCACACACCTGCATCTAGCATCTTAACAATGGCATCGGCTTTATCTATGTCCAAGAGAAGGTTATCAAACCAGCCACTCTCCATGAGGGACAGGAATACCTTCAGTCGGTTCTGCAGGGCCCCCCGGGCCTCCTGCCGACGCTTGCCCACCTCGTCAGGGTGGTACTTAGATCGGAACCTGGAAAAGCAAGCAAGCAGGATGGGAGAGACAGAACAGTTATCAACAGCCAAGACCAGAATGTGGGGAGGGGCCCAAGAAAGGCAGGGCAGAGCCTCTGGCACCCACAGAAGGTCATAAAATCAAGAAAGGGGTACACTAAAACCACCCAACGCCCCAAAAGGAACCAGAGGTTGTGCTCTGGAAAGATCTGAGGGAAAACCAGGAGTTGAGAGCTCTGGGTTAGGAGGACCATGGCTCTGGGGAAGGCCAGGGTTTGGAGGCAGCTCTACTGCTGCAAGCCTCTGGGAAGCAC